GTTAATTACAATTAAGAACTGCTGAGACTATCGGGGGGGCTATGCTTGTGTGTGTGTGTTTGTGTGTCTGTTAATAGTGGACGGGGTATTTGTTTACATTTGGAAAGGGCTAGCTCAGCAAATTTATCGTGTAACTGAGGGAAAAGTTCACCTTACTTAAGAACAACAGCCAATAAACAGTTTTTAAGCACCATTAAAACCATTTTATATGCAAACACTGTTACAAAACTACGAATGTGATCATTAAAGCACTTCTTATGTTCTCTGAAAAGCACTAACAAGAATCTCTAGGACATGTTCATTGTTCATGGAATCCCCCAGTTCCTCATCGTAGTTAGTGGTGCTATTCCCAAAGCCTAGACTCCCTGAAGCGGGCTTCCCAGTCAGGGAAACTGATTTTTCCACAATTGCAGGATTTCTTGGTGGGGAAGGGAGGTGTAATACTTATCTCCATGCCTTTAAAGAAACAACCAGTATGAGTGTATACATTAGGGTGATTTAGATAAGTATTTTTATTCCTGAAATCCTTCTACAATTTTAACGATATCAAAGATTCATTTTCGCTGCCATAACTAAAGACGTACAGTCTCAAATGAAGCAGCTCCAAATGGTGATTCTCAGAGGGGTACTTAGCACTGCAGCGGCTTCATCAGACCCTACTGGGGAGCTCACGCTGGATTGGGGCCCCCTAGACAAACAGCACTCAGGCTGTGAGTTCTAGCACCAGGCTTGGCATGGGCTGGCATCAGGGCAGTTCTGGTATTGAAGCCAGCCGGCAGTAGTGGTGTTTCTGCAAGCCATATGTGGTATCAAACTCCCGCTAGTTAGCTACTAGTGGCATCTAAGGATGTGCACACCCTAGTTTAAGAGCATTAATAATTGTTCGGTAGGTGGCCTAAGTGGCTGATGTCTCAGAATACGTCAGCATAGACCGTTATAGACAATTATAGAAACAATCACAGACAGTTCTAGAGGGATTTTAGAAAGCAACAGAAAACTGGAGGAAAAGGTAACCATTTGAAACGACATGGATGAACTTTTAGGACCTTATGCTGAGTGAAATAAACCAGACACAGAAAGAAAAACACTGCATGATCTCATTTGTACATGGAATCTAAAAAAAGTCAAACTCATAGAAGCAGAGAGTGGAAGGGTGGTTACGAGGAGCGTGCGGGGGGAAAGGGGTAAAATGGGGGGGTGTTGGTCAAAGGGTATGAAGTGGCAGTTACATAGGATGACTAAGTCTCGAGATTGAATGTACACCATGATGACGATGGTTAATTATACTGTACTGAATCCAGAAACTTGCTAGGAGAGTAGATTGCGGGTGCTCTCACCACACATAAAAAATGACAACTATGTGAGGGGAAGGTACTTTCATTAGCTTGGCTATCGTAATCATTTCGCTATTTATCTATATCAAGCATCATGTTGTACACCTTAAATACAGACAATTTTTACTTTAAAAATACATAAAAAAAGACAACATGTGTGCGGGGAAAGCCTTCAGAATGCCACGGCAGCTGAGGGGTAAGATCAGGAGACTGGACAGAGCTGCCTGGGCACAGGACATCTTTCTGACATCGTCCCTACAAAAGCACAAAAACAACGCAAGCTGATGGAAGAAACACTGAAAGAGCGCAACAGGTGAGGTGGAGGCAGGTGAGAGCTGGAAAATCCACCCCCTCTGGGATTTATCAGGAATAAAGGCAAACTCTCCAGAAATAGAGCCCATGGTCACAGCCCGTGATGAGCGGGTCGCTGTGCAGAATCCTGCTGACAATTAGGGAGCAACGTAGCGCCTGCAATTATCCACAAGTTCATCATTTCCAACCCGAGACTTCCGAATGCTGCTTTTGTTTTTCGTTTTAAATGACCTACTGAGCCCACTAAGCTGAGGAAGGGTAAGGAGTAACAGAGAAGAAAGATGCGATTTTTCAAAGGTAACAACAATCAGTGATGTTTTTATGTGGCGTATAAGTTCATTTCCACAACAGCTGGCTTTTTAGGAAACTGGGACATTGAGAAGGTTCATGACTTTCCCATGGTCACTTGGCTAATACATGGTGAAACAGACTGTGAACTGTGTCTTCTAGTTCCCAATCCTAAATTCCTCTCTTTTGCCCCCAAAGGCTTTTCCCTTAGTCATTTACATTGTCCTATTAGTTCACGTGCATCCTAGTCTGGTCCAGCCCACAGACAGTGTACATTCATGAGGGTGGGAGGTAGATTTAAACCTTCTCCACCTCTGACAACATTCTGCTGGACACACAGACCACAGCCAGTGCCTGCCTAGGGTGACAAGATAATCTGTCCTAAGTGCAGGGTCTTGAGAGTTGAAGATGATCTTGGTGGTGACGCCCATTCTGAGCTAGTGATGGTTAGTGATGATAGGCTAACAATTAATACATAAATTAGACCCTGACCCCAATATCTTTCTTAGGCAACAGATCTGAAGCCATCAAAGAAGAATTTCTGCAGGAGGCCCACAACAGCGGCAGCTCCAGAATTTCAGAACAGGGGGCCACAGGGGGTCAGCCTGGGGGCTGGAGGACTTGGCTTGAAGCTGCCTTCAACAGGGAGTGTACTCTTTGTACTTAGTTTGTATATTTATTTGGAGGTGGCCTGGGGAGATGAAGAATGGGGATGAGGGGGGTGAAAGTCTTCTCAAGCTGCCTCTTGTCACAGATACTGGCCTGTGCAGGCAATGATGCTAATGGTCGGTGGGGACTGACTATCCAGCATCCACTGGGTGGTGGTTATAAGAGCTGCCCCTGGGTTGGAATCTTGTCCCCATCTTATTAACTGTGTAACCCTTTCACCTTCTTTATGCCCCAGTTTTCCTCTCCTGTAAAATGGATGAACAATGTCACAGGATCATTACAGGGAGTGAGGGAGTTAACAGGTGTAAAGGGCTTAACAGGTGTAACAGGGGTGTCTAGCATATAGCAAGTGCTCAGCAAATGCTAGCTTTTATCACTTTTTTCTTTAAGCATTCAAAACGATTTCTCAAGCATCTACCAAGTGCAGCCGTCGAACTACACATTGGGAAGGAACAGAGTCAAAGTCACACTGAACAGAGGCTGGCCGGGTCTCTGAGCACAGCCCAAACCAGAGCCCTGGACGCTGCTCTCCAGATGCTCGGTGTGAGGCCCACACCTCGGATATGGCGGCCGCAGGACAAGGGCTCACTGACATCTCTTCTACCTGGCGTGGGTGGCACGGCTGCGAAGTGCCCATTTTACCTCGGTGGACCTCCTTGGAATTAGTGGCAGAGCTGAAGGAACCCTGGGAAGGCTCCTATAAGCCACTTTGAGAAATCTGGATTCTTCTGAGGGTGTGAAACTTCAGCAGGCTCACAGAGAACACGAAGTAACTTGGGAGGATCTATATTGGCCAACGGACTCTTCCCATGACCCCTCTCTGGCTGGAAATGATGCTTTCCTTCTCTGAGCCCCTGCAGCACACAGCGCTGTACACACAGCTCCAACGCAGGACTGCGTCCTGGTGCAGAGAGACCAGACTCACAGTCTCTCATCTGTCTGTGCTGCTCTGTCCTGGGGGCAGGGACATCGTCCCCATCACCCTGGGGTCCTCGGGGGGCCAAGTGTTGACTGAATTCACTGAGGGGCAATGAAGCCTTAGATCTCAGGGGAACATCTTCTCTCTAAAAATGAAGCTCTAAGTAAATGAATGCACAAGACTCCCGAAGCTAGCACTTGCCATCTGCAGAACCAGTGGTTTGGCTTTGTGAGTGGCCAAAGGGAAAACAGGCCATGTTCAGGCCCAGTTGGGATGGTTCATATTATATGTAAACCCCGACACACTTCTTTTTAAACATGAAACACACTGTAGGTCTGCACCATCCAATATGGGAGCCCCTCGTCTCGTGGACGATCTAAATTAAAAATAATTAAAATTGAATACAATAGAAAATTCAGTTCCTCGGTCACACCAGCCACATTTCAAGTGCTGGTATGGTGAGGGCTACTGCACCGGACAGCACAGGCACAGAACATTTCTGCAATCACAGAAAATTCTACTGGGTGGCGCTGCTATAGAAGCTCAACTGTCCTACCAAGAAAATGTTAACTCAGGCAGATAAAATCTAACCGCACTTCCACAATCAAGAAAGATAATATATAGCTCCGCTGGAGTATCCAAACCTTTCAAGTTTGTTCTCTTACAAGTAATAAGGGAGGATGAGCTAGGTGCTCTATATTTCACATTATTGTTGTTTTTTAAATTTACGTATCTTTAGAGATAGTATTAATTCCATGAGTACCTCGGTGCAGTCACGTGTGGCTTTGAGCAGTTTAATGCAGGGGATGGATGGCTTCAGCCCTGGAAGAAGGAAGCTCATCAATCTACCAGGCATCCCGGCATCGTTACGGAACATTAATGAGGTTGGGCTTGATTTAAAAACCGTCCGAGGCATTATGGATTGGGACCATTCCTTTTCATAGGAACTGAGAATTTCTGAGATATCATCCTAGCTCTTTTGCTAATGCGTGTTGTGATACAGGGACTACCATTTAACTTCTGAGTTTCAGTTTCCTGTCCTCAAAATGGGGCTATTACTGACCTCCCTACCCCAAGTGTCCTGAGGATTAATGAGCTCATGTCTGCTGAGAAGCTCCTGGCAGCGAGGCGCGCTTCGAATCATTATGTCTATTCCTTCTCATGGAGCAGATGGGAAGCATTAGGTCTGTTATGTTTACTCCTTCCAAAATGCATTTTCTGTCTCAGCATTTGAACATTACCTAGGTTACCCAAACCTTCAATCTAAAAGTAAAACTAGCCCCACAGCAAGACACACGGACGTAGCGGGGGTATTTAGGTAGTTTTTCCTTTCCCTAATACGAGCATCACACCAGCTTTTCCAGCGGGATGAAGGTAGTAATTGCCCTGCAAATTCTTGCCGCATGAGGCCGGTGGTCAATCTCAGCAGATGTGAAAAGAAAGTTACAGCACAGCACGATGATGCTATCAACACTTACATGCAATAATATTCCCATATCTGTTCTTCATTCTGTTTTCATCTTTCTTAGCAGAGTCCCATGGTGCAGACTGCCCTTCAAAGAAGCTCTGGAAGAAAGAGACAAGTGACATGACGAATTACAATTCGGTGCGGTAAACAAACACAGGGATCTTAATGACTGGGGGGGGTTCTTAAAAAATGTACAAGGGTCAAGGAAGGAAGAGAATATTCACAGGAATGAAATAATGGATTATTAAACTACTTTATATCTTAAATATCTCATTTAGTTTTTTGTTGTTTTCCTTTAGTTAAAAGGCCACAAACACGGGTGGGGGCTGAAGAGTAAGCCCACAATTTATCTGTACCATCTACCGAAAATGGTTGGGTGTTCATCCCCATCCTACCTGAATATTTATTATAGAAAATTTAACATTTCTCTCAATTTCTTAATTACATTACATCCTTTCAATATTCTCCTACGAGATATAAAGATATCATTTTTCTTCCCAACTGCAAACTGAAGGAAGGTTATTTTTGGTTAAATCTGTGAAAGTAGGTAAGCTAAGACTTCACGACTTCCAGCCTAAAATCCTCTAAGAACTTCTGCCAGAGTTTTCATTTTTAATGGAGCTTAGATGTCCATTTATTTAAGGATTTGGCATTATTATGCCTAGGGTCTTTAATCTTCATGTTATTAGTCAGATATACATTTTTCTATTCAAGTTATAATGAAAATGTCCTCTGCTATCAGTTGACAAGTGAAAAAAAAATCTGGGATTTTAATTTCCACTTTAGTTCACGTTCTGTTTCACCTTCACGTAGCCAACGCTATAAGGAGGTACTGGGAAGAAGGATGGTAGCAAGAAGCATTTAGTAACACTGTTTTGTTGTCTTTTCTGTACCTACTCTTATATTTCTTGGCACCAACTGGGAGAGAAGGGAAGAGCAGGCAGAAGACACAAAGGCAGATCACGTGTGTGGAAACATCGTCCTAAAATGCTCTGGGGTCAGTGAATGTGGTACTAGGAACGCACATCCTCAAACATGCCCCAGCATGGCTTTCCAAGTTCCCTCTTTAGAACGGAAGCTCCTTTATACTCCCCTACTCTCCATCCCCCGCTAAAGCGCTTGGCCATCTTGGCCATTGCTGTCAATGGCCACTATTGAGCAATCAGTCTGTGGTTCAATGGGACCAATTCATTATTCCTTTTCATGGGTCCACTTGTGGCTTATCAGCTGAGCTGCTCCTTAGTGCGGTCGGAGTGGGGACACACCTGCTCACAGACCCCATGGGGAGCCCTGCCGCCTGCAGGTGGCTCAGACCCGACCACACAGTGCGCAGTGCTGGGCATACTCTACCGTCTCTGCCCCAGGCTGTGGATGTCCCCAGGCAGGGGCTGCGTGGTCCTCATTTTTGTTGGTGTGGAGCCCACGCTTCGTGATAGGAGTCTGATAATTAGTCATTGAATGAATGAGTGACTGCAGTGTCTGGGGGCCGTCTGCTGGGCTTTGATGCCCAAATAAAGCTTGACTTCTGCAGTGTGGGTGTCTGCGGAGTTGGAGCACTTGGAGACCTCCACAGGCACTGCCTGCAGGGTTCATGATGTCCGTCTGTAAAAGTGCACGCGCTTCATAGATACAATGGAACATTACTCAGCCATAAAAAGAAACGAAATTGAGTTATTTGTAGTGAGGTGGATGGACCTAGAGTCTGTCATACAGAGTGAAGTAAGTCAGAAAGAGAAAAACAAAAACTGTATGCTAACACATATATACGGAATCTAAAAACAAACAAACAAAACCATTCTGAAGAACCTATGGGCAGGACAGGAATAAAGACGCAGACGTAAAGAATGGACTTGAGGACACAGGGAGGGGGAAGGGTAAGCTGGGATGAAGTGAGAGAGTGGCATGGACATATATACACTACCAAATGTAAAACAGATAGCTAGTGGGAAGCAGCCGCATAGCACAGGGAGATCAGCTCGGTGCTTTGTGACCGCCTAGAGGGGTGGGATAGGGAGGGTGGGAGGGAGGCACAGGAGGGAGGAGATATGGGGACATATGTATATGTATAACTGATTCACTTTGTTATAAAGCAGAAACTAACACACCACTGCAAAGCAATTATACTCCAATAAAGATGTTAAAAAAAAAATGTGCACGTGCTTTCTGTGAACTGCTGTGTGTTAAAGCTGCTGTTACCTTACAGCTCGGCCCTCAACAGAGACTGGCTGGAAAAGAGCCCTGTCCTGACTCTGTCCCCCTTGCACTATTAATTCCACACAACAGAACATCAGGACACACCATTTCATCACATCCAAGAGGGAAATGATAACACTGCAAGCATAAGAGTTAAGAGTTTTAAATTGCCATTTTATTTTATTTATTTATTTTTTAAAATTGAAGTATAGTTGACTTGCAATGTTGTGTTAATTTCTGCTGTACAGCAAAGTGACTCAGTTATACATATATATGCATTCTTTTTTCTATTCTTTTCTATTCTTTTCCATTATGGTTTATCTCAGGACCTTGTTGGTTATCCAGTCTATATATAATAGTTTGCATCTACTAACCCCAAATGCCCAGTCCACTTAGTATGATAATCCCTAGCTGCATCCCTGTTGATGCAAATGGCATTATTTCGTTCTTTTTTATGGCCGAGTAGTATTCCATTGTATATATATATATATATATATTATACAACATCTTCTTCATCCATTCATCTGTTGATGGACATTTAGGTTGTTTCCATGTCTTGGCTATCGTAAATAGTGCTGCTATGAACATACGGGTGCATGTATCTTTTTGAATTGTAGTTTTGTCCGGATATATGCCCAGGAGTGGGATTGCTGGATCATATGGTAATTCTACTTTTAGTTTTCTGAGGAACCTCCATACTGTTTTCCATAGTGGCTGCACCAACTTACATTCCCACCAACAGTATTCAATTGCCCATTTTAAAGTAAGGTACCTTAGTCATGGTCATTGTCGACACCTCATTATCATAATAGTTTTTACAGTGTATTTATCATTTTGAAATAAAACCATGGGGGCAGACCAGGATCAGATGCACTACACACTTAGAGCTGTATTAACAGATTCACAATATACATTGCTAACTGAAGGGTAAGATACTGTGCAATGCAGGACAAAAACAAATACAAACATTTTCAGGATTATTAATAAATTAAGCTAATAAAAATACAGTGAAAATCGTTAGTTAATTCCATCTAGAACAAGACCGTTATAGGATGGGTAAAGGATTTATTTAGACATGTAACGTCTATTCCGCCATACAATATGCATTTAAAATAGCTTTAGGGATTTAAAAGTCATCCTCTTTTTCTGAAGTGTCTTTGTTACTCTATGAATGACAATTATTTTACCGTTGAGTAATAACTATTATTTGACTTCCCTTATGACAATTTAATTCTATTAATACTTTGAGTTTGTCGTGATGTAATTACAATTTCATTCCCCTCTGCCTTCTCCACCCATGTGAAAGTTTCCAGACTTTGCTATTTTCATGGGAAGATGAAAAAGGGACCTGACTCTGAAGAAGACCTGGGTGTCTTCCAGTAGACCCACGGACACTAGTTAACTCCCTACAGGATGAGAGACAGACAGACAGATGGAGAGGGGGTCAACAACGGATTAGGGAGGAGGCACTTGCTCCACTAGTACAAGGAGATCCTGCTGGGTCACCGGAGACAAAGCCACCCTGAGCCACACCAGTTCCTTCCCATTCCTGACAAACAGACGCTTTCCGTGGGGGAAGGCGCCCACATCACAGCTGGGTTTCTTTAGCATTTATGGTGATCACAGGAATTCCAATAGCCCTTGCTTTTAAAAACAGTTGTTTTTAAAAAAATGTATTAACTTTTGTTTTATATTGGAGTCTAGTTGATTACCAATGTTGTGCTAGTTTCAGGTGTACAGCAAAGTGATTCAGTTATACACATATATATATATCTATTCTTTTTCAGATTCTTTTCCCATTTAGGTCATTACAGAGTGTAGAGCAGAGTTCCCTGTGCTATAGAGTAGGTCCCTGTTGGTGATCTATTTTAAATGTAGCAGTGTGTACATGTCAATCCCTAACTCCCAATCTATCCCTCTCCCGCATGCCCTTCCCCCCCGGTAACCATAAGTTCGTTCTCTAAGTCTGCGAGTCTAAAAAACGTTATTTTAATTTGACTGTTCTCATTAACTGGGGACCAGAAAACAGACAAAATCAACAACGAGATGATAACCAATCTCCCTGCACTTGACCTCTGCATGTTTTTGTGAGAGTGGGGCCCATGCTCTCCATCTCTGAGCACTGACCACGGGCATTAGTACGTGAGCAAAATGAAGAGTCCATCGTCTTGACTACTACTCATGAGAGTAGCAGCCATGGAGGACCACCTGCCTGCTTTACTGCTGCAGACAAAGACCCCAACCAGATCATCGCAGACCAGCTTGAGTCAGATCTCAATGGTTTCTGACCCTTAGTCCACCGCTCTTCCTGGACCACCCCTCCCGACAGGGGCTTTGGAGGGGATACAGTTAAATCTACACATGACCAATGACTGTTTTCCAACCTAGATCGTATCTCCTTGTCTCCAAATGAAGGTTTGCAACAAGACAATATAAAAGATGTCAAGTAAACTTTGCTTAACTGTCGGCTGCTTTCACAAAATAGGAAATTTTCTTATCTCCTAGGATAATGTGATCGTTGCAGGGAAGCAACAGCAGGAGAGCAACAGTAGAAGTGGGAGTTCTTGCCATGAGCCTCCCCAACTTTCCATCCAGGAATTATGTGAATCAGTTTAAGTGGCAGAATGTATTTTTTCTTAAACAAAATCAAAATCAAAACAAAACAAAACAAAAAGCTGCTTCAAGGAAAAGATCAGATGACTGGTGCCATCCACAGTTTCCTGACTCTCTACAGATTTGGTGATCCGTCTCGCATTTTCTGGCACGGTTTTGCTTCCAATTATACAGCCAGTCTCCCCATGAATACATTCCCATGAATACATTTGCATTATGAAGACCATGTGTTCTTATCCTTGGCTTGTAAAGTAAGTAATATACCTAATGGGGAGCCCAGAGAGAGGAAGAA